CGGACAAAGGACTAAAGAAACGAGAATCATATGTAGCAGTAGATTAGATCCTGTATTTCTAGAGTTTTGATTTCGTGATTCGGCAAGTGGCCTTATTTATTTGTTTGGCGACAACCAAATAGAACTCTCTTTCCACCATCTGACATGGGATGTAAGTCCTCGACCCCACACGACAAGCGGAATCGTGAAGTTGATTTGAACTATTTCTCTAGCCAACAAACCCCGTGGACTTCAAGCTGCCCGCAAACTACGAATTAACCGTCGCGAGAATCGATGGGTAGGTCTCATCCCACCCCAGCGTACAGCAACGAGTGCTCACTAGTCCTTAATTTCTTTAAAATAATCCCATATCTTTATGTGATTACTATAGGCCGATAAAGCGTACAAGAAGCGTGCTCTTGGCAACGTCTATAAAACCTCTCCGACAGGAGGCTCCTCTCACGCAAAAGGCATCGTGTTGGAGAAAGTCGGTGTAGAAGCTAAACAACCCAACTCTGCTATCCGCAAGTGTGTCCGTGTACAACTGATCAAGAACGGCAAGAAGGTGGCGGCGTTCGTACCGGTCAGTAACCACCCTCTCCTTCTCTTATTTCCAGGTTCTTACCAGTCCTCAGAACGACGGCTGCCTCAATTTCATTGACGAGAACGACGAAGTGCTCATCTCTGGTTTCGGTCGTAGTGGTAAAGCCAAGGGAGATATTCCCGGTGTGCGGTTCAAGGTCGTCAAGGTGTCTGGTGTCGGTCTGCTCGCGCTGTGGAAGGAGAAGAAGGTAAATATTTTCCTCATTATAAATTCTCTTCCTGACAAATTATCCTCTACCAGGAAAAGCCAAGATCATAGAGGCATATTCGCGTCAGAGTCAAAAGGTTTATTACATGTCTCGCTAGGCTTGTATTCACTCTACTTGATATGTCACATTATGAACACCACACTATGCAAATTATATGTCCAATGCATAATCCAATCATAGTTGCTTTCGCGCGCCCTTTTTGGCACCCACCGGTTGTGAGGGTGCCTTTCGCTTCTTGAACATGCTTGTTGCAGGGGCTGTCTGAGTTTGTTCGCTAGCATCATTAGATTCAGCTGCAGATTGGATGAGTTGCTCTTGCGGTTCCTTCTTTACTCCGTCTTCTGAGGCTTCTCCCTTCAACTCCTCCTTTTTTGTAATAGTATCATCAACCTTTTGTTCTTCTCCTGCCTCCGTTTTCTCTGGTGCTTCATCGCCACCTGTAGGTTCCAACTGGTCCATCTTCCAGCGCTTTTTAGACCAAAGAAGGGGTGCCCCAGATTGCCCGGCGATGGACGTCTGAGGTTGATCCTTAGACTCTGGCTTGATCTCCTCTTTCTGTTTACCTTTTGGTTCAAGAACGATCTGTCCAGGATCATATATTTCCCCAAGTCCGACTGCTAACTTCTTTCTCCTCACACGGAACCCTTCTCCCTCCTCATCTTCGTCTTCTTGGTGGTATCTCTTCTGAGGTATTGTAGCGTTGCTTTGGGTGGATGACTTCGGAACGTCTATTACCTCCCACTGGCCAACCACTCCCTGACTTTGCTGTAGAGCCAGTGCCTCTGCTGCTAATTTTTCTTCCTCTTGTGCGATCCCAAGATCTTTTGCTGTTGTATAGTTCGCGTAAAGACCTCCAGATGTCGAGGCCTTTGGTGCTGCTGGTTTAGGCGCCACGGAAACAGAACTAGATGTTGTAGCTTTCGCATGTCCACTTTGTACATCGTTTGCAAAAGCAGCTTGAGCAGCCTATAGAGAATTCAAAGTTAGTTGCGCAGAAATGTGAACACCAATGATGACACACCAACTCTATTCGACTCATTTCTCTCCTTTCCTCTTCGTCTTCTCTTTTCTTCTTTTCTCCATTCTTGTACAATGACCTAATGAAGCGCTCTTTGTTTCCTTGGTGACGCAGACCATTCTCATGTTGTGTTCGGGAAGGTGCATCGTCTGCAATAAAAATTTCGCAGTATTTGCAGAAGTATTTCTTATTTGAAACCCAATAGTCACTCTAGAAGCAATTATCAGTCGAGTTCTCGCCAGAAAGCAACAAAATTACCATCGTAGTAGAGTACAAACACCTTAAGAACTAAGCAGCAAAATTACAACCGCCGACCTGCAACGCTTTCAAAGCATATATGTAAGGGGAGGAATGGAACGATGACTTCTCCTTCTCATCAGTGATTCTCATTCTATACCCAGTTTAGACGTGCAAGAGTCAGAGTCACAACAAGAGGCACGGTAGGATTCCAATATAATAGAGCGACTGATACAACGGACCTCGAGCACTTAGGAGAGATAGAGGCAGCAATTGGGCCTTACATAAGCATCTTTTGTTTGTTTGATAACAGCCTATCGGAGGGGTGTGGCACACCAAATAAAATGACATTCGTTTGTTTGGCATGTGTGTTGAACACTTTTATTTCCTCCATCTCCAGGTGTTAAATACAAGTACCAAGCATTCGAAATGGAGCGAGGTCCTATGACTACTCGACAGGAAACCATTACCCTTCATCGTTTTGCGATGGACCCATTGCAGTTCTGCGCGGTATTTGCCACATCTTTCTGCTTTCTAAATATTGGCTGAACCTTGAAACAGTCGCCATTCGTCAATAAATTGGATGCTCTGCTGACGTTTTCGGGAGTGAAGAATATCAAATATCAAGGGGGGCTGCCTAGTCAGGCTCCACGTGGAAAATTCCCCTTTATCATCTTGGAAGGAACCGCAGTTCCTGACTCTGAATTGGCATACGGACACTGTATCGACAAGGGAATACTTCAATGTCTCGATGAAGGCGCGGGATTGAACGCAAAGGAACTCGCTCTCTCGGTGTCCATCCGAGCACTTGTCGAGAATGGTCTTACGCATTTTATCACTCATGAACGGCAGGTCGACTACTATATGTCTAAAACTATTCTCATCCTTTCACAGT